CAGTGATTACTCCACATTTTAAATATATTGTATTAGGTTCCTGTGGTTGCTATAACAAATGACTACAAATTTGGTCCTTTTAATCAAAGCACATTTATGCTTTTATATTCTGGATGCCAGAAATCTGAAAGCAATTTCACTGGACCAATATTGGATGTCAGCAGGTTTGTGGTCTTTCCAGATGCTCTAGGGAGTGTAAATCTATTTCCTTTCCAGTCTCTAGAGCATCATTCCTTGCATGCCTTGGCTCGCTGTCCTTCCCTCCATCTTCAAAACCAGAAGCTTAGCATCTTGCCTCAGATGCGTAATCACATCACCTGTCTTTACTGTAATCAAATCTCCTTCTTCCTCCCTCTCATATGGATACTTGTTATTACATTTAGGGTCCACCTAGATAATCTAGGGTAATCCCTCCATCTCAAGATCCTTAATTTAATCACAGCTGCAAAATCCTTTGCCATATAAATGTAAAATTCACAGTTTCTGGAGATTAGAACATAGATATCTCGGGGGGGTCATTATTCAGTTTATCTTGCATATAAAATTGTACATTTTTAAGGTGTGCAGCATGATACTTCCATATACATATCTTGATATATACATACATGGTGAAATGATAACTACAGTCAAGCAGACAAACATACCCATCATCTCATATAATTATCTTTTTTCCTCCTGTGGTAAACGTATCTAAACTCCACTCTTTTGGCAAATTACTGGTATACAATACATTATTACTAACTATAGTTCTCATGTTGTGTATTAGATCTCTAGCCTTATTCATCCTACATAACTACAATTTTGTTCCTTTTGACCCACATCTTCCCATTTATTTTTAATATTTTGTCTAACAAGTTTTGTCTCTCTAACAACTTAGACTGTCTCTGTCTTCCCAATAGACAAACCCTTAATATTAAGTGAATACAAAATAACTACTATCAATTAAGAAACATTTCCACAATCCTAATTTAAATCTATATCCACTTCTTGAATTTGATAATGTGTTTGTCAAATGATTCAGAATATTTGATAAGGTTGGCTATGTGTTTCTCTTTGCTAAACACTGGAATCATTTTATTATGTTTCATCAACTCTTATCTGGGGAATTTAATTAGAGAAATTCAAAAAAAGTATACTAAAAAAAGTGTACTGTCAGAGCAAAAATAGACACTGTATATTTGAAGACTTGCCTGCGGTACCAATACAGTGCTTTTATAGTGATGGCTTTTTGAAGTAGATTCAAGTATAAATGGTTAACTGGAAAACTTGATATTTCCAGTAGTGACATTTTCTTGACAGGAAATTATTTATTTGAGATTGTTCAAGGGAATTGATGAAATCCCTAGAGAAGATGACATGTGAAGTTCAGAATGAATAATGTCCCAGCATCTATAATGATTAGAAAAGTTTTTCTCTTCCTTTTGTATTGCAGTCAGTCACAAGCAATATTTTATTCTCATGGATAAGATTTTCAAAGAAACTGCTAGAAGTCAGGTTGAGGGAACAGGATAAATTCTTTTTGGCATAAGGCTGCAGGTAACTATTCCATATTCTATGAGAAATAAGCGCACACACATATGTTTTGACAGCAGAGTAGCCTCATTTAGTTATTCTTGTCTGCCTTAGGTGATCATTTTCTAGGCTTATTTAGAGAAACTGCCCTATTTACAGATGTTGTTCCGATCTTCTTACCACTGTCTGAAATTGAGGAAAAAAAATTTTCTACTTTTACCTCTTCACACTCAGTTATGCTGGATGGACCTCCTCAGAATTTAAACTGGTCAGTGTCTTAATTCTCCACTTTGAAGTAAAGTACTCAGTCATTATTGACTCCCAGCATAGATATTAGAAATACTTAGTGGTCTATGAGATTTTACTCCACACATGGGCACAAATACCTCATGTACTGAAGTGGTTAGAATGAGGGAAATAACAGCTGAAGATTCAATTTGTAATGGGTGGAAGAAGATGAGGATGGACTGGGCTCAGTAGATTGATTGCTATTTGTCCCCTTGGGCATTTTTCAGAAAACCTTTTCGTATTTATCCTTACCATGTTCCAGAGGCATAAATAAAGGATCTCCGCTTAATGGGTTCCAAGTACAGACCAATATTCCTTGACTAGAGACTCACTGGAATGGACACAGGCACCACTTTACCCTCAGATTTTAGTTAGTCAACAATTAATAACCGGTTCACAGTTGGTTTTATATATTGTCTCAGTTGACCTTGGTGTATTAAGAAGAATTCGACTGCTACCAGCACAGAGATTGGTATGTAATAAGGGTGCTGTAAATATTTATAACATGTTATAAATAAAAGTTTTTCTTTTCTAAAAAAATTAAAATTCTTTATTTAGGGTTCAAGATAGACTTTTAAGCATAAAGCCTTTTAAGCTAAAAATCAGTTAATTCTCTTAATGTTTGTTTGTCTCTAATGGCCTGTTACCATTTTAAGATCATCCTATTTGAGTTTGCATTACATTGTTTGTGTGTATGTGTTGGGGAGGGTGTTTTGACATTTTATTATTCTTTGCTCCCTATGTTTTAGAATCTTTTAAAATTATATCATTTCTTTTTTAAATATTATTTCTTCTGGAATCTTGTTTTTTAGAATTACAACCTGATATTTTGAAACTAAGGTCACCGGCCGTGAATCTTTTAACTAATCCCTTCACAAACTTTCTAGTTTTAAATACCTGCTATTTAAACAGCAATCAACCAGAAAAAAAATTCCAATGCGGTCAACTATCCCTTGGCCCAAATCCCAAATTGATACATTGTTCAATTCTAATGTAGGCTTTGTCTAATCATTTAATACTTTGGCAAAAGTTCTGAAGAGTAAGAAAGTTGACATTAAGCATTTATGGGTTTTTTTGTTTGCATTTCACAAGAATTTTTGATTCGTTCTCCCTGTCATTTATCAGATCAGAAGTTGGATGTGTTTTGTTGCATAAAATACTACCCACGTACGACAGTTACATTTCCATTTCAGATGACCAGATGAAAGAGTAGTTTCCTTCAAAGCCCACAGTCATTTTGGAATGGGAATTATACCACGAGTGAAATAAGAAACTGTAAATAGGCTTTGGCACAACGATTGTACTCTCAGGCGCCAAGTTTTGTTGGCAAGAATTCTGGTAAGCAGGAGACTCTTGTAGTTCTGGCTCTTCCACTCATCTGGTATTATGACTTCTTCAGTTTAAAGTCACCTTTTCCAGAAAATGAGAACCTTGACAATGCAAGTAGCCACCCAGTCACTCTCTTTCACATCTCCTAATTTTAATTCTCTACATAGCCCTTATTGCTCATTACTGGGTATTTTTCTTGTTTGTTTCTTTTGATTATCTTCGTAGAATCTAAACTTCAGGGACTTTACAAAGGAATATACTATGTCTCATTGAATCTAAGGTGACATCAATGGTGAGATGCATCATTATGTTGGGGATGTAAGACTGCAGTCACAGCTCATTGCAGCCTTGTTATCCCAAGCTCAAGCAATCCTTCCTCCTTAGCCTCCTGAGTAGCTGGGACTACAGGTGCACACTACAACACCTGCACCCAGCTAAATTTTGTATTTTTGTAGAGATGAGGTTTGGCCATGTAGCCCAGGCTGGTCTTGAACTCTTATGCTCAAGCGATCTGCTCACCTTGGTTTACCAAAGTGCCGGGATTATAGGCATGAAACACTATGCCCAGCCTCTTCAGCATTTTCAATGAAAAGTTGCCAATATATGGTATTTTCGACATGATATCATTGTTTGTGGCATCAAGAGTATTGGTGAAGCTGAATTTCTGAAAATATTACTCCATTATTGTCTTTGACATTTTCTTACCAGATGGTGACATTCCTTCTTTTAAGTTTTGATGCTTATGGGCTATCAATGTCTGACAGACAGCAACTGTAAGACTCACCCTAATTTGAGATGTGGAATTGTGAAAAATTGAACATCTCAAAATTGAAAAAATAAGGGTTATAGGTACTGATATGGTTTGGCTCCATGTCCCCACTTAAACCTCATGTCCAATTGTAATCCCCACATATTGAACGAGGGGCCTGTTGGGAAGTGATTGAATCATGGAGGCAGACTTTCCCCTTGCTATTCTCGTGATAGTAAGTTCTCAGGAGACCTGGTTATTTGGAAGTGGGTAGCACCTCCCCCTTCCCTCTCTTGCTCCTGTTCCACCCATGTAGGATGTGCCAGCTTCCCCTTTGCCTTCTGTCATGCTTGTAAGTTTCCTGAGGCCTCCCCCAGCCATGCTTCCTGTACAACCTGTGGAACCCTGAGCCAATTAAACCTCTTTTCTTTATAAATTACCCAGTCTCAGGTAGTTCTTTTTTTTTTTTTTTTTTGAGAAGGAGTTTCACCTTGTCGACCAGGCTGGAGTACAATGGCGCGATCTCGGCTCAGTGCAACCTCTGCCTGGCAGATTCAAGCTATTCTCCTGCCTCAGCCTCCTGAGTAGCTGGGATTACAGGCACCTGCCACCGTGCCTGGCTAATTTTGTATTTTTAGTAGATACGGGGTTTCACTATGTTGGCCAGGCTGGTCTCGAACTCCTGACCTCAGGTAATCCACCCTCTTCAGCCTCCCAAAGTGCTGGGATTACTGGTGTGAGCCACTGCACCTGGCCTCAGGTAGTTCTTTACAGCAATGTGAGAATGGACTAATACAGGTACTCAATACATAAGTAATTTTCAAATACTTGAATATATGACTTTTGTCAAATCTATGTGTCCTTGGGCAAGCCAGTTTATTCCTTAAGCTATATTTTTCCCATTCAGGAAAGTAAGATGTTGGCCTAGAAGTCCTCTAAGAGCCCTTTTGGCTAAAAAAAAAAAAAAAAAAAAAAAAGATCCTAAAAAAAAAAAAAAAAAAAAAAAAAAAAATTACATGCTTTGTAAATGGCTGGAGTTCATAAATGTGAGAATGTATAATTTTAGTGAACTATTAAAAGTATTCTGTCCAGTCTGGTCTTCAAGGATTTAAATTTCCCGGTCAACTCGGTGGTGGCCACTGCGCAGACCAGACTTCGCTCGTTTTCGTGCGCCTCGCTCCGCTTTTCCTCCGCAACCATGTCTGACAAACCCGATATGGCTGAGATCGAGAAATTCGGTAAGTCGAAACTGAAGAAGACAGAGACGCAAGAGAAAAATCCACTGCCTTCCAAAGAAACGATTGAACAGGAGAAGCAAGCAGGCGAATCGTAATGAGGCGTGCGCCGCCAATATGCACTGTACATTCCACAAGCATTGCCTTCTTATTTTACTTCTTTTAGCTGTTTAACTTTGTAAGATGCAAAGAGGTTGGATCAAGTTTAAATGACTGTGCTGCCCCTTTCACATCAAAGAACTACTGACAACGAAGGCCGCGCCTGCCTCTCCCATCTGTCTATCTGGCTGGCAGGGAAGGAAAGAACTTG